CCGGTTATAGATCAGTAGGAAAGAGGAGCACACAACACAAAATAAATGAACTCTATACTAAAATAAAATAGAATAAAATCTCTAATTTTAGTGTATTAAAGAATGAAATATCAAATCTCTGACTTAACAAGAAGCATAACAAGAAGTATGTATAAAGCTGCTATCTTTTGCATAATAATGTCAGCATATGTCATCTTTATTTGTATAAAGTGCTTCACAGGAACGAAAGATAAAAAAGAAAACAGCATAAAATGCCTACACATACATGTAAAAAGTAAAATAATAATTAAATATAAAATGCTGTATATTCTAGTGCAAGTAATATATATCCTGACATATATGTATTATCTACTTATCCTCCCCTATATATATACTGTAGTAACTCTGCACTACATACATATAATTAGACTGGTATTGAAGCATTTACAGCATTTAAAATGTAGCCATCTTAATTGCTGGTGTTTGAGAGGCTTTTGGTGACGCCTCAGAACCTCAAATCCAAACTCCTCAGTGTTCCACATCTGCAACAATTCCCCCAATCTGCCATGTAAACTGGAATCCTTAAAGACTGCAGCAGACAACAATGGGATAAAGGCAGAGGTTATGTAAGAGACCCGTATTTTACTATTGGCACGCATTCTTTAGACTTCTTTGCCATTCCTGCAGTGTCCAGTAAATGATTGACTTTTGAAACGGTGCCATTGATGTTGAAACATTAGACAACAGCCATTAGAGTTATTACAGTTATTATAGATAGTTATTATAGTGTATGTTATATGCCATCGGAGCAGTTGTGGGTTTGCGTGTCAATTGGAGAGAGAGAGAAACGAATGCCAGGGGTCAGCACAGCAGCGGCGTTTACAGTTGCAAAGACAACACAAGGAGGGGCTTGGTACAAATAGCGCAAATCGACACCATAATAAAAGCAATTAATCAACGCAGTGTCTTTTGCAAACGACCAGATGGATGCAGTAACTCCGGGAGACGTGAAAAGTTACGCTCAAAATGTATTGCTATGGGAGCGAACGGGAGCTCTACTTTTTACGCACGCTGTTTTAACCGTCTATGTCGCAGTTCAAATCCATAAAACAGCGTCAGAAACACACATAAACTCTACGCCCGGTGCACAAGACAGAAAAGTCAATATTTAGCCCTTCCCAACCTGCTCGTTTGGTGGACGCGCAGCCCACATGTCGCTGGAGTCGCGTCTTTCCACTTGCGCCAAAAGTAAATGATCGCAGGCTATGCACACAATCCCAATAAAAAAATAGGCGTGAGAATGGTGATCAGAAAGTCCCATCCGTCTCCTCTCTGTCTTTGCAGAGGCTGAGTAAATCCCACAGTGAGAGAACTTTCACTCCGCTTCTCACATGAGGCGGGTCTGGCAAAACTCCGGGGCCAATAGTGTTGAAGCGTCACAGTTATTGGTCTAGAACAGTGTCTCCCAAAGTGGGGTCCGCGGCCCCCTGGTGGGCCGCGAGGGTACTGCAGGGGGGCCGCGGGAGGTCATAAAAAAAATAAAAAAATAATATAATTATTTAATGTTAAATGTGTAATTTTTTGTTTGTAATATTAAAATATTTGTGTTCATTATTTGACTTGAATAATCCACTGTAATCATTTTTGTATTACAATGTTTGTAGCAGAGGCTATTTCCCCAAAATAAAATAACCAGAAGAGCCTATTCTTAATGTTGTCTTCTTGGTTATTATTTTGGGGGGCCACGCAGACCCATCAGATTTTTAAGGGGGCCTCGGTGTTACTGAGTTTGGGAATGGCTGGTCTAGAAAATAGTGTGGACTTTTGGGTGGAGGCATTTTCTTTGGAAAATGAATCTTTACGCTTTCATTTAAACATTTGGCAAGATGCTACACATATATCAAGTTACACATTTGACCATTAAAAGATCTAATCAGGACGTGTGAATCAGTATAAGAAAGCTATTTTTATTTTATTTTATTTTTTGGGAACTTGATACGACAGGAAATCTGGGTCAGGAAACTGGGTCTCTTGCGCCATCGTGTGGTATAGTTTACGCACTACAAAACATGATATTTTTTTTGTTTTGATAATGTAATCTAGTACAGACATGGATGATACTAGACTTTAACCTGTCTGTTATAATACACTACCCAACCCTATTTTACTGCTTGGAGAGAAGATACCTGAAGTAACCAAACAAACACATTGGTAGCTTGCTGAATGACTTCTGCCAACAATATTTCACAGGGGAGAAAAAAGACCAATAGGAATGTGTAAACAGTATAAACAGGTGCAGTATAACGTCAACTTCAAATCACTTACGTAAAAAAACACGTTGCTGCCTTCGCTTAAACAATATGATTTCAGAATTATTGTAGGAATGGTTATTGCTCCTTCTCATTTCAGTACCACCACAATTTTCTATTTTGAAAGCCACACATTCTGTTTGTATAGCTGTAAAAACAATATGTAGAAAGAATAAAACAATGGCTGGATACATACCAAGTGACAAGGAAAGGTTTCACCGTGATTCAAAAGGCTCCCAGCAGAAGTGTGCACGTTCTCCAGTATCTTGCTCTTTATATCTCTCTCTTCTCACACCCAGTTATGATTTAGTGGCCATAAACATAATGGCTTCCGGAATGAGCAAAAGGCACAAAGGGCAAAAGATAATATTCCACACAAATATGTATAGGCTGAATCTGTTGTTGATGTATCTTTTATTTGTTGTATGCAACCCCAGACCCTCTGAGACTATATACATACATGGACATGGGCTATATTTACAATAACCCATTTGGCGTTTTTGGCATTTTCAGGCCAGTTAAAATGTTAGTCTTTTTCCATGGAGAGATTAGGAAGAGTCAATAATGTATGAATTAGGCCATAACTGCATGTCCTTAATTAGGCAAGAAACCTCACCCATATTTCCTAGAATGAGTCTGGTGTGTGTGTGAATGGTTGGTGGTGGTCGGAGGGCCGATGGCGCATACTGTTTGCCTCGCTTCTGTCAGTGTGCCCCAAGGCAGCTGTGGCTACAGAAGTAGTTTATCACCACCATGTATGAAGTGAAAGCATAATGACATGTGAAGCGTCGTTGAGTGTCCAGAAAAGTGCTATATAAAACCAATATATTATTATTATTATTATTATTATTATTATTATTGTAATATAGTATGGAACAATGCTGATGAAAATGATACAGTTTGAATAATGAAATAATGGCCTCGGTGACAGTTTTTATATTGTTTGAGGTATAAGGTCACGGAAGTTTAATTAGGCCTATTAGACACAGAAAGTATTAAATCAATAATTAGCCTTGTTAGAGTCAAAAGGGACTGAAAATGTAATCATCCATTTAGTCAAAAGTGGATTTTCTGCAGCAAGTAATGATCCTCGTTTCACTAATTCCTTTCCACAAATGTCGACACAAATGACGTTTATCTGCATCTTTTGTTGCCGCCTGAAAGACATTACCTTGTATTTTAACAATATGAGCAACGTGGACAGGATAATCCAGGGTACCATTCTCAAAGTGGCAAAACAAAGAGAAAAAGGGAAAAAAAGACAGCATTTTTATTCAGTACTTTCTTTGTAAAGGTTGAAGCTGAGCACCCATCCTCGGGCAGGTGCAGGTTCCATGACCATAGCGGCTCCTGCTGGAGAAAACATAGACCAATGCGCATTAAATATGTTTGAAAAGTGTTGTAGGTTTGGTTAATCACATTTCTTAAGCCGAGTGAGTCTATATTGTTGTATTTAATTAGTCCAAACAACAAAGTGGTATGGATTTTATAAACTGATATAGTGTTGAATACTTTAGCTCCTGTTCTTATTCTTCTATTTCCACCTCTTTTTATTGAGATAACGTGACATAAATGCATATATATGGCACAGTTTATGGTTTGACAGAGAGGGGGGCGTATTGAAGTTGCCCACCGGGAGAATTTTAAGTCAGAACCGCCACTGCAAACCCACTCATTAGGTATGCCAATTTTAATTTTTATTTTGTGTGTGTGTGTTTTATCTCAATCTAATACTTGTGTAGTCATAGAAGGGAGGTCATTTCTATCATAAAGTCAGGCGATGGCGCTAAAACATTTTTTCCCATGAATCAAAACTCATACATTTTCGGGTCGACCTTCAGGGGGCGTTGTTCCATCAGCCTAACGTGAGCCCATTCACCTGTACCAATATCTTCTCCACACAGGTCGTGTGCACTGGGATTCATTAACTCCTCCAGCCCTTCAGAAAAACAACACGGTCACCTGAAAAAAAAAAAAAAAAAAACACCTTTTGTCTTTTTCTGGAACAAGCCGCCAGCATGCTCACGATGCGACGCTCTCTCTTGGTACTTGTGACTTTGGTGAAATTCTCGCGCTTCAGACACGTCGCGTTTGTCTTCACGGTGGAGCTGGTCTACCCCTATGTGTTTGGCTGAGCGGAGCTTGGACGCATGTAATATATGTCCACTGCAGCATCCCTCCAGCTCTGAGTCACTGCCCCTGCGCGCACTGTCGCAGGACGCGCACTGTTGCATGTGGATCTCCTGGAGTAAAGTTGCCTTTTTTCCCCATCAACTACAAGATCTGGACTTCAACTTTGGTATTTTCATCAACGTTTTAACTATTTTATTTCAAAACAATAGTGGGAAATTTCTCAAACTTGATTGAGAAACAGAAAATTATCGCGTTTTGCAGTTGGGACCTCTGCTTTTACGCACGGCTTGCTTGCACGCTTTAGATTTATATAATTCAACTTTTGGACATTTTTCAAAGTTTGCAACACAGGAGAGGACCAGGACTTCTTTGCATCAACATTTTTTTTTTTCTTGCAGCATAATAGTTGGACATTTCTCGACCTCACTTCATTGTCGTCTTTTCCAGCTTCTTTTACGCACGGCTTGTTGTCTCGCTTTTTTTTATTTATAAACAATGGCAACCCCGCATGATCCCCGCTATGGCTGGCGGTGTATTGCCGAGCCAAGGCCAGGCATGACCATGTGAATAAACAGCAGCATGCCCTCTTGGCCCAACCTCACTCAGAGCCTCAGCAACAGCAGCTGGGAGAACGACAACGACACATTCTTGAGCGATCCCCCTCCTCTTGGCTTGTTCTCCATCCCACTGCTCACATCCACGACTGTCGCGTGTTCGCTGCTGTTTCTCGTGGGAGTAGCGGGGAATGTGATGACTATTCTGGTGGTGGGGAAATACCGAGACATGCGGACCACCACTAACTTGTACCTGTGCAGTATGGCCGTGTCAGACCTGGTCATTCTCCTCTGCATGCCTTTGGACTTGTATAGGATGTGGTGGTACAGGCCGTGGCGCTTTGGTGAGGCGCTTTGTAAACTCTTTAACTTTGTGTCTGAGTTGTGCACGTACTCCACTATCCTCAGCATCACCGCGCTGTCTGTGGAGCGCTACTTGGCGATTTGCTTCCCGCTGCGCGCCAAGGCTCTGGTCACGAAAAGACGAGTACGCGCGCTGATCCTCGTGCTGTGGACTGTTTCCATGATGAGTGCGGGGCCCGTGTTGATCATGGTGGGGGTCGAGAGGGACTTCAACAACAGCAGCAACAGCAGCAACAGCGGCAACAGCAGCAACAGCACCGACAGCGGCGATATGGACACGCGCGAGTGTAAGATGACGCACTACGCAGTGGAGTCCGGGCTGATGGGTGCGATGATGTGGCTGAGCTCAGCGTTCTTCGTCATGCCAGTGTTCTGCCTCACGGTCCTCTACAGCCTCATCGGCCGCAAGCTGTGGCAGAGGCACCGGGAGACGTGCATGAGCTCCCGCGTCTCGCACAGGGAACGGAGCAACAGGCAGACTGTCAAGATGTTGGGTACGCGCCGTTACGCACACATTACGCACGGGCGAGTAAAGCGGTTATCAGTTCAAATTCACCCAGATGACAAATGTAGTTGTAGTAAGAGTTCCTGTTACATACATATACAATATAAAAACTTAGGGTACCAAAATTTTTCCATTTTAAATATTGTTTATGTCCCAACAGAAAGTACAGGTTGTGGTAATAAATCAGACCACCATATTTTCTTTTTCATTATTGTAAGAAAGAGCCGGAATGACCATTTGAGCTGAGAGCTTTTATAGACTAATTTTTCTGTCTTTAAAAGCTGATCTAAAGATGTGAAAGAGGCCACCTGCATGTGAAAATACTGCACCTAAACCAGAGAAACTATAAATATGATTGTGGTTTGAACGTTAGTAATCTTTAAAATAACATTTTATCATGTTTGTTTTGTTAAAAAAAATGGACAGTACCAGTCCTTTTAGATGTTGGTCACGGTGTACAGGACAGAAAGCTATTAAACAATAGAACAATGCATGAAAACAACACACTAACACATCATCAGTATAAGAACCTAAAACGAAAATGTCTCACGATGGTCTGAACCCAGCTCACGTTCCCTATTAGTGGGTGAACAATCAAACGCTTGGTAAATTCTGCTTCACAATGATAGGAAGAGCCGACATTGAAGGATGTCATATGATCTTATGGTCCATTGAACTATAGGACCAAATGTTATAAAACGCATCAGTGAACATCACAGTTGGAAGACCACAAAAGACATGTTTAGAAAGTCTGAGGATTATTCAAATTGTGTAGCTATCTCAAACAGCTTGAATAACCCTTGAGGTAATTGCTTTCTCTTGTTGAACTAATCTGGAATAAAACTTGCTGGCAAACTTTTCTTATATGACCAGGCAGCTTTGAATTCAGTTTACCATTTCTTCTTGATTAAACTCTCTATTCTATCAGCGCCTGCTGCTTGCTCCCTCATATTCCATGCACCTCATTCCTCACACACTCTCTTCTCTCTTCACAGTGGTGGTGGTGTTTGCCTTTGTCCTCTGCTGGCTCCCGTTCCACGTGGGCAGATACCTCCAGTTCCGCTCCCAGTACTCCGAGTCCGAGCTCCTGACCATTCTGTCCGCCTACTGCAACCTGGTGTCCGTGGTCATGTTCTACCTGAGCGCAGCCATCAACCCTATCCTCTACAACACCATGTCCTGGAAGTACAGAAGGGCTGCCGCTCGCCTCTTTGGTTCTCCGGACAATAACCAGCCTCACCGATGTCGCACGGCCAGCAACCTGAAAGGACAGTGCTCCAATGTGTGGAACGAGTCTACAGCCAGCTTCTAACATCATTTATGTCAAGCAAAAACTCTATATAGCCGCAAGTGCTCCATCAATCAAAATAATGTGAATGTATACAGAAAAATCTCACAGATAAAATGGCCTTATGTTGTTTTCTGCAGATCCTGGATGACAAAGTAAAAGCACTGTAGATGACACATATATGCACCAGTCTGTCTGCCTTCAGAGAGGAGCAGAGGTGCGAGGTGTGAGTGCGAGCGTGTGAATGCTCGTTTCTTTGGTGTAACTGAGATTGTGTGACTCTAAATGCCCTGCAACTTGGAAATTCAAGTCCATGCTGTGTTTATGCTGCTCAGAGGAAATGTAAACATTGAAACTCTTTGGAATGTTTTTTTGTCGTCTTGCTGTCTCGTAAAGTTGGCCTTCTCAGGTGTCCCCAAGCACTGATCTGCTTTTGAATGAAACAGGACTTTTTATTAGATGTATCTTTTGTGTTTGTGGTTAACCAAAGTCACCACCGGTTAATGTGTCGGTTATAGTGTAATGTGTTCGTTGAGTAGAACTTGTGTAACCCTTTATAAGAGTGATGCACAATTTACCAGGTTGTTATTCTAATTCACAAATGCTTAGGAATTGCGTCGCATTCCAAAAGCCATGCATCTTTTCTACCATTGCTGTGAATGTATTACTTTTAGTGAGTATCGTTGGTTGGTATGCAGAGTTTGGAGACAACCTTGGACACTTACAATAGCTGTTTTGGTCGTCCTGCTTTAAAGTAACTTTTTGCAACATCTTCGTAACTGTAGTGCTACGAAATAGCCCAGCAATTCAGCCATGGCCTTGGGGTCTGATGAATGTAACGTCTTGTGGTTCTATAATGATTTTGTAAAACCGATTCTGTAAATATGTTCTGGTAATGTGCTTGTTATCGTTTGTCATTAAAAAGTACAGTCAAACTCATGGCTGTCATTTGTGATGTAGAATTGAACAAATGTGATGTGTTGGAAGTCATGAATCGTTTTTTAGCACATATTCTACATGTTATAGCATTTATTTAATTTTTTAAAGAGGAAATATTGTACATTTTATCTGGTCATAAAAAAAAGAGACTATTCACTTTTAAATTTCATGTTTTATCATGTGAAACAATATCTTAAACAGAAAAAAATCTGGTGATTCATATATCAAAGGTTAAAATAATAATAATGTGGTATAATACATCATGCAAGACTGAGACAAGATTTGATGACCAAAAAACTATTCTAGGTCTGTTTTCGACGATGAGAAACAATGTAAAGGCAATATGCGTAAAATCTCAACAAAGTCATCTCTCCTTTAATACTTCAGTAGATTCCTCTTGGCAGACCATTCCTCAGTTGGTTCATTCTCACGCAACATCCATCCTCTTACAAACCGTTTTGATTCCCCTTACATAAAGGCGTTCATCTGTGCCTCTTGAACCATGTTTGAACAAAAAATCTGAGTCCAACTGCCCTCAGCTCACATGAGGTCAAGTGAGTGATGGTCTCCTCTGGACCATGGAAGTAGATTATGGGCAGGACGCACACAGCCAATCACAAGTCTAATGCTGCGTTTTCACAATAGTGTAGGTCAATTTATCTTTCTTATTTGGAATATATAACTAAACCCAAAGAGTCCATGGTAAGGTTTAAAGCTCTTAATTGTAGTTGCTTGAATTATTAAGTGAATTAATAAGATACGTTTTTCCTCATTTTTTGATTCGATGGGAATAATAGTTGTATTGTAACATAATGTAAATTCAGATTCAGATTCATTTATTTGCCATTTGCAGTAAAACCACATTGGAAAAACTGTGCAAGACTACCCCGGTTGTAGTTACACAGACATACCAGGAAGCAGTGTGTGATGAAAAGTGGATGTTTTTATATAATTATGGAAGTAAAACCAGAAAGTCCTATAATGACAACATTCAGAATCCAGTATATATTTTCCCTAACTTTGCCGGTGGAGATTTTGTCACCTGTTTGATGATGACGACTGTCCATAGAGAAGCAAGCTCAAGTTACAGATGAGATCAGTGGAGTGGCGACTGCACAGTAAGGACACATGTCATGCGGCTCCCATGGCGTCATGAAGAGGAATATATAAATATGTATTATTATCATTATTATCTCATATTTATGTAGCGCTTTTCTCAGACCTTTGGGGCAGGGCCACAACGGCATTCATTTGCACATGTGGATAATATGAGTATGTGTAAGTTGATTGTGAAATGAGGCTTTCTAATTAAACATTAAAGCACATGTGTTTTATCAGTTTGGTAAAGACACAAAAAAGATGAGGACAAAGAAAATCAGAAAAAATTAAAACATTTATTGGGCATAAATATATTATATATACGCTACCGATACAGTTATGTCTTACATACATAGGGTAGTATTTGCAAAAATCTATACATTAAAATTGATATGGCAGTTTCTTTTATATAATGTATATGAAATTGTATAACATTTACAATACAAGAAATGCATGACTTTCTCTTTTCAATTCGTAGACCATGACAACATTTTGGAATGTTTGCTTTTTACTTGTGAGATAAAAATATATTTTTTTGTCTCGCTTAAAAAATAGTTAAATACCTGTGAGTTTTCTGCACGTTTGTCAAATCACTAATCTCTGTCAAAAGCTCGACTTACTGCAAAACGTACAAAAATAACGAAAAAAAGAAAAAGAAAATGTATTATAGAAGGCACCGATGTGGGGTTGCAGGGCAAAAACTCAACAAAACCATTTACCCACCAAATGTGCAGGACTTGTGGGTGGGAAGTTTGTAAAAATAAAAAACAAAAAAAAGGGATATTTTTATTTGTGTTTTTTTTCCTTTTAAAATCAACAGCATTAAAAAAATAATTAAAAAGTAAAGAACATAAAGAGTACCCTGCCCACAACCTCCAGCCTTGGACTTGTCGACATTACTACAGTCTTTGAAAAGGCTTGTGTATGACGTGGGATCAGGAGTAAAAGCGACGGGGCAGGCAGTTTGCAGAAAGCCCATGTTTTTCTAATGCCAAATATCACAGTGACGCCAACCACCGCCAAGATATTCTAATGCCAATGAGGGTAACAGAGCGGTGGCAGTAGTGTTGGGGGGAAAGGACTCTCTTATCCACCTCATCAGCTCCAAAAAAAGTGCTTCTCTTCTCGTTAGTCATTACTACAGCTCTATAGTTACACCTGTGTAATCGTCTCGGAGCAAAATACTGGGTAGAAAAATCTCACTACTGCGAAGGCCTGAATGAGGAGTCGTCATTTCTGCACCGCTTCCTGTTGTAGTCATCCACTGATTGCCTTTGTCACTGTTGCGTTCTCTTACAAAAAAGGGACTACACAATAATTCATCTTTAAAAAAAAAAAAAAAAAGGCACATTTTTGCTTTACAAATAAGAAAAAAAGATAATATAAAGAAGCGTAAATCACAGATCAAGTTATCATTTTTTTTTTACTTTTGAAAGAATATAATAAATGGTATATGCGGTGTCGTTACAGAAAACATCACGTAATAACCCTTTAGTGGAAATAGAAGCCTGCATTTTGGCGATAAAACAGTCACAAAAAAGATATTTAAACTTCATGAAAATACTAATTTAAAAAGCCAAAGGCAGCAGCGTCATCCCGAAACAGTCGACTAAGTTGCTACAGTTATCTCTCTAAGCGATAAAAGCGGCTCCGGCTGTGCGTGGGGCCGGAACCGCGGAAAAAACGGAAAAATTTAAAATACATACGCGTTTGGTTACATGATTTAAGAAAAAGAGTTCTGACGGTGACTGCGATGCATGGACTGATGAGCTACAGAACTACTTAAAGGGTTACAGAGATAAGGAATGCTGGCCTTAATCATAATCTAACATACATCCATACAAAAATTAAAAAAAAAAAAAAAAAAAAAAAAAACATGCTACAAGAAAAAAAAAATTAGTACATAACTACACTTGTCTCTTAATCTTTTAACAATAAATAAATGAAGATTGCACTGTTATTGGCATGTAAAGTACGGTATGCAAATATATAGTATAAATAAGAAAAACTCTACCTTGACTTTCCCATTGGCTTTGGCAAAGGTTTTTTTTTTTTTTTTTTCTCAACAATATATATTTAAATGAGTGAGTAAACCATTTTGCGGACTGGAGCAAGGCACAGCAAAGAGATGGAGAGGAAAGAAGAGTGAAAAAAAAATAAAAAAATGGTGTAGAAAACAATGTTTGCGGTAGTGTCTGTGGGGGAACAACTCAGTCCCCTCTATATAAAAATGTCTATTCCCTGAGGTACAAGACAGGCTGCCAATCAGAACAATGGGGCGGAGCTTAAAAAAACCCACCTCCCCGCCTTTTCCTTCCACCTAGTTCGTGTGTATAGGGATCTTTGGATTAGGAGCTTTGTGGGGCTGTACCTTGGCTGCAATATGTCGCATACAAAGGATGGGTTGAAGGTTGAATGCCCAGTTCTTTACGTTTGGTTAGCTCCAAACTGGAAGAGGCGGCTATTCCGAGGTCAATAAAGCACCGTTTAAAAGGAGATAGGTGAAAACAGTCGTAGAAAATTGCAAGAGGAAAGCAGCAGATGAGCAGTTTAGCAATGGGAAGAGTCCTTAGGTGTATATTGACAAAGCTGGTTAGGGTATGAGCTCACTAGTATAGAGGCTAAATGGCTGGAAACAGTATCAGCGTCTGTCTAAGCAAAAAAAAAAAAACAACAAAGACTAAATTGTGAGCGATGTAGAATGCCCAAATTGCTTCAGTTTAGCTAAAGACGGTATATAATGCTCTGTCATTAAATGTTCAATATTCAACAATGGTGGGGACTGGAGGCAAAACCGATGCAGTAAAACGCACTGGGAGGGGGACAAAAACAAAAACTTGTTTCCACCGAAAAAGGCGAAGAATAATTTACCTGGTGAATAAGGAAATAACTGAACATGCAGGTCTATGTGATGTTTTCGAACCAGACAGTCTGTGGATTACCCGGCTCTTCCTAAATTGAAAGCACACCATGTTCCACCACACTTTTGCCTCCACTCCGAGAATATATAATGCATTTAACAACAAAGCACGACAACGGTCTGTATCCATGTGCGACAGCTGCGTGTCTGTGTCTATCGATCGCCACATTGACCGGTTTTGCACGTTTTGCCGCTTCCCCGTATGCACTGTACTTTTAGACCTTACATTGCCATCTCTTTCTATACATCACTTCTATAGCTCTTAAGATATTTGCTATATTAATATAATGTGTATATATATCTATATATTAGATTACTGGTTTTCCATTTTATAGATAATAAAAATAAATCACAGGATAGCAGCATCTTACACCACACTTGAATTTGCATCACTTTGGTAGCTGAACATTTGTGTTACATAGAAACTTGACTGATTGACTTCAAAAGTATGCGTTTCATCATTGTCGTTGCATGAAATGTAAAGTGTCCGTGATCAGTCGCTATCGTTGTCGCGTGGACTGACTGACGGCCTGTTGTGTGGAAAAACTAAATGGTGTTGAGCGGCTAAAGCTTTCTGCCTACAGTGGAATATGGCTGACTGGATAAAGACTGCAGCAAATTAAACATAAACAAATGTAAGGCAAAGTAGACTGTCAAAAAATATACATGTCTCTAATAGAATATGTCGTAAAAAGATACAAAATAAAAACATGCAAGTCAGTCTGAGGAGCTTCTGCGTCGCTCACAGCTAATCTTAAGGCTTGATTATCAGCTTCCCAAGCGAGGTCCAGCTAAGAAAATGGCTTCCCTCGACAGAAATCATTAACATGTGACAAATCTTCGTCGTGGAGAGAAATTATGACCGATCGGAACAGACAGTAACAAGGCGAGAAGAGCCTGAATCGGTACATCGACTAAAAACAATACATAGAAGTACATCAAGTGTTTTGATTTCGTTCGGTTTTTCGTTCGTAAAAAAGTTTGTGATTTTTGCGTTCTCTTTATCTATCCTATAGTTGTGTAAAAACGATTCCCTCACTTCATGAAGAAGTACTGTAGCAGGCAGGCGATGAGGATGGAAAGGCCCGCGAACACGCACACGATCAGCGCCGCGAAACGCTCGTCGCTGGAGATGAGCCCCGCCCCCTTGGCCGTCTCCGCGGGACACAGCTCGCCCGACGCCGGGTTGTCCTGGCGCCGCACGCTGAACAGGGACGAGGGGCTGAGGGGCCCGCACAGCTCCTGGGACGTGTCTTGGCAGCGACGGCACGCGCCCACCCGGAAGCGGTAGTCTGTGTTGGGCTGGAGCCCGGAGATCTGGAACGAGCCTTCTTCTCCCTTGAACACCTGTGGGGGACCAGAGAGACAATAAAGCTCGGGTACCTATCTTTATTATTTCTGAAGCAGGAAAGTCTAAGGACAGTGGTGATGATCCAGAACACTCGATATTCAAGGAAGTAAATCTTTATTTATATGCCACTTTTCACAGACTAGAGTCACAAAGCGCTTTACAATTGTTATTTTTTGGGCATTTGTCTCTCACTCCACACAGAGATGGGAGCAGGGTCGCCAGTACAGGAGGCGCATGCCAGACCTATTGTGCATGTTTTTAGTGGTAGGAGAAACCGGAGTACCCAGAGGTAACCTACACAGACATGTGGAGAACATGCAAATTCCACTCAGAAAGGCCCCGTTTCGACCGGGATTCGAACCCAGGATCTTCTAGGACACTCTGGTCAATAATCATTTCCCCACAAATGAAATGAGTACGATGGTATGGTAAGACCAGGCTAAGATTGTTCCAACAGAAAAAGTTACATGTTGTGAACAAATCAAGACCGCAACATTCGCTCTTCATCTTTTTAGAAAACATGTAATGTTCGTGCACTTGTAAGAACAGTCATTTTTTGACGCTTTGGGATGAGAGGGATTGGCTGAGAGAAGGTGGTCCTCTCTTTTACACATCTCTGGCTGAAAATGTTGATCTAAAACATATGACAAAGACTAAAAATACATGCATGTCAAAACTAGTGATTGGTTTTGAGAGCGAATATGTAACATGGATTTTATTATATTGTTCCATTTGTGGTATGAAAGTTGGGTACCCCAGCTTTAAAGTGTCAAATAAAAGTTAGATACCTTTTTTATAGCAAGATGGGGTTAATTAAAACAAAATATGAATAATTAGGACTCACTGGCTAATAAAGGCAGCCAGAACTTACAATTAGAATCTCAATTTATTAAACAGGAACACAAGATCAGAGGTTGGTTTCAGATCCCATTTGCTTTTAAAAACTAATTTGACTTGGAAAGAAGGCTTTCAAATATTTTGCATTTGAAAAAACAATTAATTTCATTTTTTTTGGATGCCCAGGTGCCACTTTTTCATTTGAATATTCATTTTGGTCTACAGTCTTTATCATTATTGAGTGTGTCTTTGTATTGCTCTATATGAAACACACCGCTCATGAAACAGTGTCTCTCCCTGAATAAATAAAAAGTTGATAAATGAAGCCTTATTGATTTTTAGACCTTGAACGCTCGTTGGTAGAAAACAATTTGTACAGCGCTTAAAATAACACAAAAATATGGAATAAAATCAAAAGAGTACAACATGACTGCAAGTATCAAGTGAAAGACTGATCCTCTGCAGCCATCTCCGCTCACTGTGGCGACAAAAGCATTTTCAAAAACATTATGCATTTACTGAAACAGCGCACACGGTGATGGCACAATTGGGTTTTCGCTGTGTGTGCTTGGAAAATACACAAACATGTTTTAAAGTAAATTGCACTGCTCTATGTACAGAAAAACTGAGATTTTCAGAGCAGGTAAAGGACGCTGGTTTTGTGCATGTCAAGGCAGGTCATCCAGCCCATTCCAAAACATTCTATTCTGACACAAGCAAACGTACATCTAACAGGAAACTCAACATAGATTTGTTTTTGCAGAAATAGTGTTGCAAAGTGGTTACTGGGTACATGGTTGGTTCATTCAGTCAATTGTGTTTTTCGTCAAAGAATCTGAGTGGTACAGTGGTTTAAATGCTAAATGACAAACTTTATAACTCCTTTCAAAGCTTTTTCAATGAAGACTTGGCTAGAGCCTGTAAATCTTTTGTTAAGATGATTTTATAAGGTAATTTTGGCAAGATATTTACTTAACGTTCTGGGAAGGAAGCACTGTAGCCATGACATGTTTGGAAATCAAATTGTTGGCATTCACGATGCGAACAGATGCTGAAGGTTCCACCAACAATATTGTAATAAATCAAATGGTTATTGACTGAGATTACCTTAAATTCTGGCTCGTTCACAAGGAAGGGCGTTGCCATAGCAGAGTTATTAACCATACATAATAATTAGATAAGACTGATGTTAAACAAACCTGTTTGTATTCGGACTCGCGGCCCACCAGCACCTGCAGCACGTAGCTCAGGGGGTCTCCTCTCATTGGTGCCACAGTCTCCCATGTGACCTCACACGTGTTGCCCTCCAGCTGGTGCACTTTGGGCGCTAGAGGAAATCAAATTAAAACAATCAAAATGAGTAAAACAAATCAGATAACATGCGCTTGACTCCAAGAAGAATAGCTGTTTGTACAGCAAGAGGAGGTACAATATATTACAATACAACAAAAACAACACAAACTGGATGGCAATATCAGAATGAGACATTGTTGACAAAGAGCAACAAAATGTAGCACTTAAAAGTTATTTGCACTGTTTTGAATCGATGACTTGTCTGTATCTGTTCTGGCCATATTGATTTATTTTTTTCCCCTTCTTTATCAATCTGAAAAATGTACTTCATAATAAGTTGTTGTAATAATAAAGATACTTATTATTACGGTTATACATACATACATACATATATGCTTATAAACGCATGCATACAATGAAAAAATCAAAAAAGACCACACAACTTGTGTTACAAGCCAAATAATAAAAAAGTTAAGTAAAAGTTGATCTTAATACTAATGTAGAGTATATAACTATTTGTAATATTATACATACAAATAGACAATATATTGCAATACCACATCCCCTTTAACTAACCATTTGCATTACTGTTAGTAATTTTAATGCAATGTGCACTAAATTCTATTTTTGGAAACCAGGATACATTTCCCTGACGCATAGTTATTATTTCCACTAACTCTGTATCCACCTCCATTATCTACAATTGTATTCCATGGCCTTCAGTTTTACCAGCAGCTGTCAGAAATACTCAGAGCATTATGGGATGACGTTTGTCAAAACTAAACCAGGGACTGAATCATAATCTATCATTTTGTTTTGCTATTTACATAATTGTTTGCCTAAGCACTAGTCCTTTGGGACCAGTGTCACCCTGCACCTGAACAAACATCACCAATTATCACGGCAAAACATTGAAAAAAAGCCTAATTAAAATGAAAGCTGATTGGATGAGCGCGCTTATATAAAGCTAACAGGTTTTCACGAGTCAGGAAGACCCTCGATAATGCCTTTTTGATTTGTTTACAATACTTCCAATAACCCTGCTTTCATCTTTCTAACTCGCACACAAACCATTATTGCTCTCAGGTTCTTCTACCAATTCATTTTATTACCAGAGGGAATATACATGTGCGCAGTAATGAGTGGCTTCCTGGCAATGGCAACAATAACCCCCAACACCAGGCAAGATATTCTCTGATCTAGAAGGCCTTTACTGCAAATAGGTATTTTTTTGACAATTTAAATAATACCCAAATGGTAGATTTAACAGACTAAACTGTAGCCATGTGAATCTAATAAAGCGGTTTGACAGTGGTTGATGCAATGTTTACACTCGGGCTGTAACAATCGATTCATTTCTACTAATCAAATAATGAAGGAGTTATGAACATTTAATCAGTCATTGAACTATGAATGGGTTTCATTTCTTAGTCAGAGCTGGAATTAAAGACATGAAGATGTTCGCCATCGGCATCGCGTTGGCTTTGTTTTGGTTAAAATTAAAAACAAATCCCACGTTCCCAGGGCTTTCACTGTACCTAAACATGTAATCGATGAGTTGAAAGAATAATCAGATCGATTAATGATGATCAGAATAATAAAAAAATACAGCCCTAGTTTATCCATTACTCCCTGGATGACCAATACATCTGAGGACTATCAAGCACAAATTGACTACCCATGAATACTCAAAATCCATTTCAAGAATTAATATCAATAAAGTGAATGTGTTCCCTGAGATCTGCTTCTCTTTGTAGCTCCTTCGTAGTTTCTTAAAAATACTTTTAAGAGTTTTATATGTGCTTCACTGTGTCTTGCCTCTCTCTGTATTCCAATGTAGTTTTTTCAGCAAATGGCAATAAATTGATTCTGATTCTTGTAGTAACCGTGTGCTTACCTTTGAGGGCGGGGGGCACAGACTTGGTGGTGCAGAAAGTGTGCGTGTCGGAGAAGGGTCCCTCTCCGGCGTCGCTCACCGCCTGTATTCTAAAGCTGTGGGCGCTGGACTCGGTCAGCCGCTGGACCTTGTACGTGTGGCTGGGGCCGCGGTAGATCGTTACGAACCTGAGAGGGGGCAATTTAGTTCCATTAGTTTATGTTGATGTACGTTCATTCCACAAACATATATACAGCACTCCAACCTGCAACAGAGGTCAAATTCTACAGAGAAAGACCAAGATGGAGATCACCGCTCTTCCTGAATGCCCGAGCAATCAAAGAGGGGACAAAGGCCCTCAGATAACTATATAATCCCTTTTTACATTTACATACTGCATGTAACCAGATTATTTTTTATTAATATTTTGTTTGTTTGGTTTTTCTGATCACAATAGATCACATTTCTTCCGCCAAACTCAAAACCACTTTCTTTTATTAAATTGAATTGGAAAAAAAAAATCTCGTCACCAACCTCATTTACACTTGTGCTTCAAGTTTATACACCCTATACACTTGTTGGTCAAATGAGCAGCGTTACCATCTGAGAGAATGAACAGCATCTACTATCCAATCCTATCCCACATTATTTGTAGAGTACTTCAAAAACAACGAAGAGGACCAAAGTACCTACCACACATATCAGCATAAAAGTGTTTACTTTTCAGCATTTTTGTTTACATTTTTTATATTTTTTTGTTTATAAGGACTAGGGCTTTGGAAAGGCACCTTAAATAAAAAAAACTTCCAGACTAAAAGCAGTCATACATTTTATTTCATTGGATTTAGTGATTAGTTCTTTCCTAATTCTTTAGTCAACTTGTAGCATGCTAGCTATAAACTGTTCATGTTTTATAAGTTATTTGAATGCACCTGCATGAACTTATAATCCGAAAAATACAGCACTACCAAAAAGTTGTCGCATTTTTGTTAATTTCTGAAATATGGCCAACAAACTTTCAAGCGCAAGTGTATGAAAGCCTCTTTTAGCCTTGAAGTTTAGGCATAACAGAGTATGCGGATAGAAGTATAGGGTTGTAATTTGAAGTCTGTGACTATCTTTAGTGAATCAAGTGATTGGTAGTGGTACAGAATGAATTGTGAAAGATAATGGCAGTAAATATGACAAATTCAACTGTGGAAAGTCATTCACCTGGAGCTGGGGACAGACGGATGGAGTGGAGACACAGTAAGTTATCTCTAAGCTATAGGACTATTCATCTGTATGGCAGCTGGAGTCCATGGGAGCAGAGAGAGACTGAAAAGTGATGAGTTGAGAGGAGAGGCGAAAAGTGACTGGTAATTACACATGCAGGGACCAAGATAAGATGGATGTGATGGAAAGTGAAAGAAGATAGGAGTTTTGTAAAGACAGGCAAGAACCACTGAGAACTTGGGATAGGTAAATAATGGTTGAGTCATTCCTTCACAACACACAAGACAAGGGTGAGTGTTATGTTAAACCCAACCCTTATTCCAGAAATGGAGAAAAATCCAAATGACTGAAATAAATGCAAATGCTAAAACCATTAACATAGACCATCTAAAGTGCTGTGCAGAGGCTAACCAACGAGTAGGACAAAGTTAATGAAATATAATGCTTTGGATAAGAGCCAAAAGTCTAATAAGAGCAAATGATGCGATGCGTGACCTTGTTTTGATTGAGCAATTCATTTTTCCCTACAATGTAAACATGGACTGCATTTGAGTTTGTAAAAAAAAAAAAAAAAAATGCTCGTTTTGAATGGAATGCCTTTGTCCTTCCCTCAGAGTCCTCGCAATTGCATGTTTAAATGTTGTAGACTGGAGCACTCTACACAAGAATGCCAATGTGTATGGACTTACTCTGTGCACAGAGGGCAAATAGTTTAATTGAATCTTGACTGATTCCTCATGTAAACAAATCCATTCTGTCTGCGCCATTCTTCTGCAAGCTTCAGAAAATACAAAACACAAGTATATAATCATCCCTCCCTTCCGAAGTTGTAGATACAATCAACCAATGGCGGGTTTTCTGTGGCTGACTGTCAATTTAAAAGGCTGGTTTTTTGTGTGGAATAAAAGCCGGTAGAGGAAAACCCAGAGGCAGTCTTGTTCATGTACTTGTCGCCAAATTGTTTGTTCTGATTATAAAGCACCTGCTGCGGAGAAAGAGCTAAAAGCCTGCATACTGTGAACCAGCATCAAAGAACAGAACACATTCATAACAAACCTAGAACAAGAATCTTATTAGTAATATTGTTATTCACGTAATAAGTATTCCATAAATTTTTTTTTGCCAATTTCAGGACATTTTGACTTACATTATTAAATAAACTGGTACATATTCCTTTGACGATAGGAAAGCAACACCACGGCAAGTACCTGTACATAAACCACTCCATGATCCATATATTCAAATAATAGGGTTTTTTTCTTTTCAGGGGGTTATTTAAAGGTGAATTTGAAAATTGTAAAATGTAATTGCATAAAGTGGGCCCTCAAAACGTAAAGCATTAGCGGGCAGGTTGGTTTCCATGGTGATGCAGTGCAGCTGGTCCTATAGCTCCGTCTCTGTCAATGCACTAAAAAGGAATAACAACATTGCATCTCAAATATGGCTGACGGAAGACTTTTATTTTTATGCGTGAGCTCTTCAAATGTAACTTTCAAAAACCCCCATATGTAAGCTTTTTGATTTTAAATTCCCTTCCTCTCAAGAGTAAACACTGACTCCAACCTTAGTGCTATTCCGAATAAAAGTCAGATAACCCGATAACACATAATTTGTTTCTTCCAGGGGCATCACACCTTCGTCCAGGGGTGACATCAAACTAGTATATTGTAATCTACTGTATAGTCACTGCCCACTAAACATCCGACGTCCACTCAACCTCCAGATCACGTCAATATCGCGTCGGTCGGTCGTGACCTTTTATTTACGTCCAAACGACGTCTGTGCAAGGTGCGCATCTGGACGTAAAACAATGACCTCCCATATACGTGGATATGACGTTCAATCCCGACCTCCCTTAGACGTCGAAAACAGGTCATCGGCTGACCGACGCAGTACGTCTTGATCTAGCAATACAATATATAGGCTGTGAAGCGGTGCAAGTGTACCTGACGGTAGTGTAGTGGTTAAGCAAATGTGTGCAGCCTTGGTTACGTGAGTTCGAGCCCACGTGTGTGTATTATTATCTTTACATATTTGTTTTGATTTTTAACGAACAATTTTTTTCTGTTTGGTTAAAGACTAATAAACACTCAACATAGGATTACGTAGTGGCTAATAATAAAACTTGTGAATGTATGCATTTGTTGTGCTAACAATCTCAAGTTTGCAAATAAGGGGTGAGCACTTGAGATTGTATGCAAATGCATGGGTTCACAAGTTTTATTATTAGCCACTACATAATCTTATGTTGAGTGTTTATTCGTTTTTAACCGAACAGAAAAATTGTTCGCTAAAAAGTAAAAAGTAAAAAGTTTTCCGACGGGGATTTGAACCTGCGTCGTTGGGACTGAAGTCTCATTACGCAACCGCTACACCACGGCCAGACATTTATACAGACTACTGTGACAAAATAATACATAACACCCTAAACAACCGACGCACACTTATGCGCCGCGCGAGTATAACGGCTTTACAGCCTGAAGGGCTCGACACACGGGAGGCGACAAATGAGAGCGATCAGCGAAACTCAACGCTGTCGCCCTGCTTTATTTAGCTACTTGGAATCACCCTCTCTAGTAAGTACACAGTCTGCACAGTTTTTAGATATAGATGTATCATTTCCACATTGAAAAGAGTTGGAGACAGAAAGTAAGTTGTTTTCTCACGTATACGTGGATTTTGTTAAGTATATTTTGTATATTATCTGTATTTTGAATTGCCAGTGCATGAATCTATTGAGAGTGAGGAGCTGACGTCATAGCACAGAGCCCCTCCCCGTCTCCGCCATGTTGGTAGGATCCCAGCGGCAAACACTTGTTGTTGTTAACTCGGTAGCAAAGGAGGTCGTCGCTATTTCTGTTTTACCATGCCTGGAGCTCATTGCTGTGTGAAAAACTGCTCCAGTACCTCACACAATAAGAAAGGAAAACGTAGGAACAACGGTTTACAATTTTTTAGGCTACCAAAATGGATACAACATCAGGGAGCGCAAGTGTCTGACCTGACGAAGAGACGCCGGATGGCTTTGTTGGCTGCAATAAGAAGAAAGGACCTTACTTTCGATCTCACCCCCAGTCGATGAGAGTGTGTTCTCTGCATTTTCACTCGGGTACGTCCTAAAATGTCTTTATGTTGTTTTTTTAAAGTTAAGAAGTGTAGGTTACCTAGCTGTTAATGTTGCAAACACTGAAGTGCATCTTAAGTTAGCTGCCTAGCTAACTATCTAACAAACTGTTGCCTCTATGAAAATGCTTAATGGCCAACCATTAATTTTAACTAAGAATATTTAAGTTTCTGCTCATTATCCTACCTTGTTGGTGGAATATGTTTGTCTCTGTCTCTTATGTTCTCTAAACCAGTGGTGCCCAAACTTTTTTTTTGTCCTGTGTTTCCACTACCCCCTGAGCCCTTTTATGAAACCATGAATAGCGTTACCTTCTTGTTTAATATTTCTTTAGATTCCAGATTGTTTAATAATCTTATTAATCTGATGTAAGTAAACCATTATATGAGATTGCTAAAAATAGTTGAGATTCTGTTCATGACATTATGCTACCTTGTTGCCAGTTTAAAGCATTGACTACATACATTATTCTGTTCTAGGTAAACCATCATATGAGATGTTGGAGAATCACCCTGACTGGACACCATCCTTGCGGTTAGGCCACAATAATGTTAAAGAAACAGATGGAGCGCGATATCAGCGGCAAGTAAAGCGCAGTACCCAGCATCTGGAGTAGAGCCCTGCACGGGCCTATTATCTGGGCCCGAGCCCGGCCCTGGCCCGAGGGGGTGGCGCCCCAGCCCGACCCGGCCCGATATGGTTTCTCAATTTTCAGGCCCGAAACCCGCATCAAGCCCGCCTTTTTTTTTTTTTAACCTCCCATAACAATGTTTTAGCGTAGTATATAGTGCCGCGCACTGATATGAACGCAGACTTAGCTAGAGGGCGGAGTTATACATGGTAGTGATGTGTTGCAATGAGTTCTGTGTGTGCGGAGGGGTGCAGAGTGAACGGCCGCATCTGTATGATGCCCAGATGCTGCAACACACCTGTAAGTAATGCTATGTGCCGTCAATGACAACACTACACAGAACAACAAACACTACAGCGTGATAGAACGCTATATTCAGTGGGTGCGTTCGTAAATCTATTCTGCCGCTCTGAAAATGAAGAGCCCGTGTCCGAGGTCATTATGCGGCCATCGGCCCGAAGCCCGGCCCTCGGGCTGTCGGGCCGTCGGGGCCCTCGGGCCAAGGGCTCAAGTGCAGGGCTCTAATCTGGAGCAGTCATCACTCCCAGCCCAAGCCCAGCAGCCTCCATCACCAGCCCAAGCCCAGCAGCCTCCATCACCAGCCCAAGCCCAGCAGCCTCCATCACCAGCCCAAGCCCAGCAGCCTCCATCGCCAGCCCAAGCCCAGCAGCCTCCATCACCAGCCCAAGCCCAGCAGCCTCCATCATCAGCCCAAGCCCAGCAGCCTCCATCGCCAGCCCAAGCCCAGCAGCCTCCATCACCAGCCCAAGCCCAGCAGCCTCCATCGCCGGCCCAGCAGCCTCCATCGCCAGCCCAAGCCCAGCAGCCCCCATCGCCGGCCCAGCAGCTGCCTCAAGGAAGGATGAGGAAGCTCTCACCCTTCCAGCTTGTCCTATTGACTGTAATGCGCCTCAGATTAGACCTTCCATCTCAGAATTCACGTTGAGAGGGTGATTGGTGTTGTGCGCAACAAATTCAAATTCTTACACTCAACTGTACCTGTGCATATGCTTCTCAAATGTGAGGGTGAAAACCTAATGCCTTTAGATAAGATTGTCACTGTTTGCTGTGCCTTAACGAACATGTGCAAAAGTGTTGTTTGAGTGCCTTGTTCATAACTTATGAACCAACCAGAACCCCTCATGTCATCTGGATCCGAGTCCAGAGTCAGAACCAGACACGGAGAAGCTGCATTCAGCTTCTATGCTCCACATGTCTGGAACAAACTCCCAGAAAGCCTCAGATCAGCTGAAACACTCAGTTTGTTTACATCCAGGTTAAAGACCCACCTGTTCTCAGCTG